ATGTTTTTAGGTTGTTTTTCTTGGTGATGTGTTGTGGGTTTTTTTAGAAGCTTGTTGACAATTGGAAGGTTAGTACATAAATAGAATTTTACTTCAGGTTTTTCAAATATCCTTGTAAATAACCAGTAAAACCCAGGAATAACTTATGGCAGTGTTTAAAACTTATTTCTGTATACCTGTCCTATGCATTCAGAGTTTCTCTGTATTTAAGTTTGTGTGGGCAGGGAACTGTTGGAGCTTATTTGTCTTAGGTACCATCTGTCAAAGGTTGTAACTTCAGCAAGATTCATAGCAATCTTTAACTCTGGAGCTATTTGTTATTGCATGGTGTAAATCTAAGCAAGTTGTGCAGCAGATGATGAGTGTTAAATAATTAAACTTTTGAACAGGTTATTATTAACTTGGTGGACCAGACAGGCAGAGAGAAGATTATTGGAGATGCTTACCTTAAACAAGTTCTTCTCTACAACAATGCAAATCTGACTTATGTTTCATTTGACTTCCATGAGCACTGGTAAGAAACTTTTTGGAAATGTCACTTTGCATCTTTTTTATTGCCATGAAACGCAAGTATAAAAACTCATTATTTCTACTTCTGCATGAAACACGGATTTTTAGACAGGAATACAGTTTTTAAACTAAAGCACTATAAAATTTAAAACTTGGGTAACCAAGCACTGCTGTTTGTGATATTGTGTCCCTGACCTGTTAAATATGCAGTTACTTATTGGGCAAAGCTTAATAGTCCCACATTTTAAGAGTTTCCTTAAACATGCCATGAGTGTAAAGCTGTGGCTGACCTGCTTTTTCAAGCTATGTAGCATTTTGTTTTTAATTCTCTATTTCTGTTTCTCTTGCTTGTTTCTATAAAAACACCATGGGTTCTTTCAGGACCCTGATGCTGTTATTTCAATATAAAAGACAGGGATTTTATCTTGATCCAGTGTGAGTAGTTGTTGTTTTCATGACTGCCCTCTCTCTGATGCTGCCCTGCTCACATGCCCAAGCATGTCATCTGTCACAGGCATGTATTTCTCCTGCTCCCCTCAAGCAGGCTGCATTTGTGTGGGATCTAAAGTGGTTTAATCTTCACTTCCAAACCTAATCTAGGGATTGCAGCTGGCCTGGGAGAGCATTACTGGCTGAGTGAGTGTGGCATTAGTAGATACTGTCAGAGGGGGTGGTGGCAAGGGAAACCCCTCTCAGAGCAGTATTGGCCTTTGAGAGTTCTGTGGGACTGTTGGCACCCTGGATTGATTTGATAATCTTTTGTTTAGAGGAACTTTCATTTTCCTTTATTTACTTTTTTCCTACAAACAGCTGCAGTGACCAGGACTGTTTCTGCACTGTGAGCAGGAGTGAATTGAGAACAATCCTGAAAAATAACCAGATGGGGTGGGGGAAGGAGGAGGGATGTATCTCTAGGTGGTTTTCTCTGTAAAATCACTGGCAAAGCAGGACTCACCATCCCAGTTCCAAATCTACTGTAGTTATTTTTCTTGAGACTAAAATGAGAACAGAGTGTTGCACATGCCTGAATAGCTGCACACTTGCTCTTCCTAATGGAAGCAGCATTAAAAAATGCAAAGTCCTGAGAATTGAATGATCTTTTAACCTCTTGCCCTGGATTTGGACGTTGAACTGTACTGCAAAATAGCTCTGAATCTTGGCTCCTGATTAAAGCCCATTGCAGGAGGGAATGCTTGTCTCTCTCATTTAGCCAAAACCCCATATTTGTTAACAGTACAAATAAGATAAAGTTTTTCAGTAAAGTCACTGCTCTAGTTCAGACTAACTTTTGTGAAATTCTGTGTTTCAGCCGAGGAATGAAATTTGAAAATGTTCAAACACTGACTGATGCCATTCATGATATTATTCTTGACATGAAGTGGTGCTGGTAGGTACTTAACTGTTTTGAGACTAGTAGGAAACATCTGTAGAGGAAAACTCCAACAAAGAGTAGATATTCAGAGGCCTTAATTTTCTCCAAACCAATATGTTTTATATATTTCTCTTTTGGTGTTCAGCTTGTTTGTCAGAGTTTTTGTCTTCTGAAGTGTTGGTGTTCTACCCATGTGAAGGCAGAAATTCTCAGGTGCTGTTTCCTGCCTGAGGTTTATTGCATTTCTGCATTTCACACTTTTAGGTTGCTCACATTTAGTGTGAAACACTCAGTATTTGACCCAGAAGCCCTAGGATGGCAGCCTGACTGTTGACAGCAAGCAGAGATTAGTTTGAACTGATTAAAGTTCATACATTTGGGTAACAAGTGTGGCTGCAGCCTCAGTCAGTTGCTCTGTATTGTTCTGCGTTGCTGTCATTATCATTGGCTTCTCTGTTCTTGAAATTAAATGCCTTTGCTCTTGAAAGCTTGTATTATGTATGTATGACTTGAATTCAGCATCTGATTGCACTTCAAGTCTGTGGCCTCAGGATTTATGTCTGATATCCAGCCTAGATTAAAGAGGAGGAGAAGTTGGAACAAGAGGAGTGAATTCAGTGTGGGGTGTGGCTGGGGTGTGAGTGCAGCCATAAACAGTGCTCCATGTGTAAAATGTTCTACTGTTTGTAGCAGCTGATGAATTACACTGGGTTTTCAGTGTCTCAGTGTGCTTTTGTTCTCTCCCTGTTGGCAGGGTTGACCAAGCTGGGGTGATCTGTAAGCAGGAGGGGATTTTCCGGGTGAACTGCATGGACTGCCTGGATCGCACCAACGTGGTGCAGGCTGCTATTGCCAGAGTGGTCATGGAGCAGCAGGCACGTACAACTGAGGGGCTCTGCCAAGGGCTGAGTGCCTCACACCTTCATTTCTGTTCAGAGAAATCTGTGGTTTGAAAAATGCCAAACTGACCTCTACGAAAAAATCTGTGCAAAATACTTGAAGAGCCATTGTGGAAGTTTGTAGGCAGCCCCGACATGGGAAGAGAAGAGAATCTGACTCAATGTTTTAGAAGGCTGATTTGTTACTGATTCATTATTTTATGATATATATATTATATTTAAACTATACTAAAATAATAGAAGAAAGGATTTCATCAGAAGGCTGGCAAAGAAGGGAAAGGAATGGAATGATAACAAAGACTCGTGACTCTCACACAGTCTGAGACAGCTGGACTGTGTTTGGCTCTTAATTAAAAACAACCCTGAGACCAATCCCAGATGCACCTGTTGCATTCCACAGCAGCAGATAATCATTGTTTACATTTTGTCCCTGAGGCCTCTCAGCTTCTCAGGAGAAAAAATCCTAAGGAAAGATTTTTCAGAAAATATCATGGCTACAAGCCATGAAGTCAAGAGGAATAATATATACAAAGGCAAAACTTGAAATAATTATAGAACAGTGATGCCTCCTCTGTCCTCCTTCAGAAAGGACTGACTGTCCACAACTTGGAAAGACAAGATGGTCTTGTTTGGATTTAGTAATTTAAGTTATGTAGGAATACAGAGTTTAGAAACAAGACACCTTCTCCTCCAATTGCCTCACTGAAATGATATTGAAGGACTAAAATCTAACAAGTTGGGTGGTATTTTAGGAGCTTTGAAGTGAAATACTGTGATGCAGCAAGTAGGGAGATGAGTTGTCCCTTCTGTGTGTAGAGGAATAATTAATTCATGATGTAAATAGCCCTGATGGCTGTGACTGTTGTGCTGTGGAATAGTTCTCCCTGTACAGAGGAGGGATTTCCAAGCAGACTGAGAGTACTTTCCTTTAGTTTTCCTCTTTGCTCAGGCCCTCACTTGTTTTCTAGAAGCTCAGTGGTGACTCTATTCCCTGACACAGTACTGCTACAGACATAATAAAGACTTAATGTTCTGTAACTGGAACATCAAAGCCCCAGTCACAGCCCAAAATGAGCAAACCTGATTATGATTAAAGCGAAGGAGAAAGGATGAAGTGGGCCCTTCATTAGGGTGAAAAGGGACTGGATCTGGCCATTGTACCTGGCAGTTCCTCTTTGTGATCTGCTGTTGTGAGCTCCTGACATAGGATCAGCAATCTCACTGTCATTACTTTAAAATAGGATTTCTATTCAGGGTAACTCTCGAGTACCAAGGCAATTCTTTGAAAAACAAGAGCGTTACAGATTGTTGTGAAGAGGCTAAATCATTACTGAGGTGTGAGCTTGTGATGTGCTGCATCATTGTCATCCTGGAGCTGAAGTACTTGGGAATCATTAATGACTGAGAAATGCCCTGAGCATTGCAGGGGCAGTGGCATGGAGTGAAGGACTGAGGGTTCATGTACCTCACACTTCTCTTCCTTGCAACCACTGCTTTCTCTCATCTGGGACCTTGAAGGGCTTTCAGAGTTAATGAGCAGCTCTGTGTTAATTTTCATCTAGCTTGCAAAGAGTGCTTGAGCAGCTGTAAATGGAAGTTTTCTTATTCCAAGTTATCCCTATCATTTATTGACTGCACTGCAGTTATATGTGCTGCTCTGCCCACTCAATGTGTGTACAAAGCCTGATGTTGGTGTTGTACCCAAGGCTTATCTGGGGAAAACTGAAGGACTGGGTGTTCTAAGAGGGAGAGATCTTACTCTAGTATCAGTGACAAGCAGTAACTGTCCAAAATGTGCAAGCACTCATAATAAACCAACATAAGAAGTTAGTTTTATTTGTTTTCCGACCCTTGAGGTCATGAATGCCTTTGCAATAGAAGACATATTAACTTGTTTATTTTAAAATTGTGATATCTGTTTCTTGGATGGTTCTCTATTGAAAAATTTCCTATATCTTGAGAATCTCCAGTAGCTTGTTTTCCTTCAGCTAATTTTTTTGATGATTGACTTAACATCCATAATTAATGTTCCTGCTGCCTCCAGTGGTGTGATGTTTAGCAATAAACCACCAATTCATTAATTTAATCTGACAAATCAGCACAATGGCTTCCTCCCCCCATCACACAAAATCTAACAATTAAACACTTGGCAAACGCTTCCATTCACTTCACTGAGCTCTGACACTGAGAATGACTTTTACTTTGGGCACTGAATTAATCCATATGTCAAATTCCAGCTCAAAAAACTGGGTGTGATGCCACCAGAGCAGCCTCTGCCAGTGAAGTGCAACAGGATCTACCAGATCATGTGGGCCAACAACGGCGATGCCATCAGCCGGCAGTACGCGGGCACGGCAGCCCTGAAGGTAAGGGGGAGCCTCCCTGCCCCCAGCAGTGCCTGGGGATACAGGGCTCATGGGCACTGCAAAACCCTGGGATATTGTCTGGGTTTGAAAGGGTTTCCTGCTAAGGAAGGCAGGAGCCTCCCTTGAAATGGAAAATGTAAACCCACTCCCTCCGAATTGTTATAGTTTGGAAATTAAGGGGCTCTCAGGCAAAGATACAGGAATAGGAATAACAGAATAACAGTTCTTTACTAGGAAAATCAAAAATACAAATGCAATGGTACAAAAAAAGAACTCACAGAGTCAGAGCATGCCCTGTTCCCCTGTGTGTCAGGGGGTGGCACAGCCCCATCCCATGGGGGCTCAGCCCTCCTGCAGTGCCAGCTGTGGCTCTGCTGGAGCAGGGATCCTGCACAAGGGGGGAGTTTTCCTCTGCAGCTCCAGGGCTGCTGCAGATGGGCCTGGGCTCCCTCTGGCAATGCAGGGCAGCAGAAGCTGCTCCTCTGGCAATGCACTGGGCAAAGGCTGCTGTGCTGTCCCAAACCTCAGATTGTACCCAGGTAGGAATGCTTGGCTCCTCCCCTGGGCGGAGCATCTCCCCATGGGATGATGGGATTGGATCAGCCATGCAGGGACACTCACTGGCCATGGACAGAGGAGATCTCCTGGAGGAAGGATGGCTTGTGGGAGAGATAAAGAAAAAACTGCCCAATGAACAGAGGTGATAACTGTCCCACCTCTAACAGATGGCAATAGAATACACACCCCCAGCCACATCTTGCATCTCCAACCTAAGACAGATATTTAAAAGTTCACCAAGTTCTCTGTGTGGTTTTGTTCTGGAGAGAAGAGGCTTTGCAATGGAAGAAGGTTTTGTGTTGTGCATGGTGTGAGTCAGAGAAGAGTTGAGTGCTCCCTGCACTTCACCTTCATTCTGTTCTCTTCAACAAAAAACACAGCAGGGATAAGAGATTGAGAGATATTATTACATCCATTTATATTTTATCATGGTTATAGTACTTCTAAGCAATAACAATACTTAAAGAATACTCTAAAGTTCTGGAGATCAAGCTATGTAGGTAAATGGGTGATATTAATTAGCTGTATTTTCTAAGGACTCTTCTTAAGTAGCTGTAATGCACTCTGTGTACCAAGATCAAGCATGAAACTCCTTGCTCTGTACTTCCACTGCTTTGAAAAGTCATAGAATTTGAGGTATTTGCTGTGTGTAACTGGTGGAACAAATTTTAGTAGTGTTTGCATTTGGCATAAGAAAAATCATTATGGTGGAAATGCTTAACACTTAAATCTCTCTGTAAATATCTCTACTGAGCTTTGATTAGTTTGCACTAATATTAGATTGCACTAATAAAAGCCTAACATGCTTGTTTGCATTGAGTATATTAAACTTTAAATCTGAAGTGCAGACCTCAATTTATCGATCTAAATTTTCAGCCCTTCTGCTGGAAGACTTCTCCACACACTGTTGAGGTTCATGGATTAAATTAATTATTTTTAATTGTGGTACTTCTTTTAATTTGAAAGTGAAACACATTTGAAATATTCTTCATAGGAGTTGATGTTGCTTTTAGAACTGCACTGTGCCAGTGTGTCTCTGAAAATAGAATCCTCTAATGAAGTGTAACTACAAAAACAACTTTTTATTCAAATTCTAAGCCTTCTGTGGCCTAGAAACTTTCTTTTGTTTCTGAGGCTGTGAGGATATGTGCTGCTTTCCCCCAGTATGTTATGTTTGTCTTATTTTGGTAGCAAAAGCAGTGAGATGAAAACCATTTTTCAGTAAGCTTCAGTCTTCTCTACTCTTCCAGTAGTATTCCTTTTACATTAAAGGCAAAAAAAATAAAGGGATTTTTTCTCTTGGAGGTATTGAAGCATCACAGTGATTGATGTATTTAAAGTCCTGCTTCAATGTTAGCTGGCTTATATGTCCAGATTTGTCTTCTGTTAGAATTTCCTACTGAAATTGTAAGTCTATATAAAATACAGGATTCTCTGCAGAGGCAATGCCAGAAGAAGCTCTTTGAAAGAAATCAATATTTTCAACTTCTGTATGAAATAATTACTTGAAGATAATTCCTGAGTTTCCATCTATTCAGTTCTGAGTTTCAGAGTGCCAAATCCTTTGAGCTGAGCCTGCTGCTCCAAAGTTTGATGTAAAGATTTGCATGTTGTGTGTGACAGGGTGACTTCACAAGGACTGGTGAAAGGAAGCTGGCAGGGGTGATGAAGGATGGAGTGAACTCTGCAAACAGATACTACCTGAATCGTTTCAGGGATGCTTACAGGCAAGCAGTCATAGGTAAGAGCACAATTTCAACCCAGCTGAGCTGTGGTATTTAGAAAAGATTATTAAATCATATTGGTTTTGTCTTTCTGACTGATTTTTTTTCCCCATTGCTTAAAGCATTGTGACTGGGTACATGTCTGTACTGGACTCTACAAGGAACAGTCTCACTTTGGAATTTAAGCAACACTCAATTCAGAGGAATTGCATGCACTGTGACTCATTGGAGACTTTGCCCCAGCTTCATTTTAGCATTAAATGTCTTCCAGCATCTCTTTTTTTAAGACAAAGTTAAATTTATGTAGCAAGTATCTCTTAAAATCATGAGGAACTCTTGTTTTCCACTGAAAGTAGTGTGACACCTTCTGAGTTTTCAGTTAAGGAAACATTCTCTTCAGAAAGACTACCAAGAGCATCATTAAAATGCAGCATTTGGAAGGAATTTACAAACTCTTACCAGGTATCACTTTTAACTGTTTCTTGCTTGATATTTCCTGGGGTTTATTTAGATTTGATGCAGGGCATCCCTGTGACAGAGGACCTGTACTCTATATTTACAAAAGAGAAGGAGCACGAAGCCCTGCACAAGGAGAACTTGAGGAGCCACCAGGAATTGATCAGCCAGCTGCTGCAGAGCTACATGAAACTGCTCTTGCCAGATGATGAAAAATTCCATGGAGGTTGGGCACTCATTGACTGTGACCCAAGGTTTGTTGGACAGAGTTAAAATTGATCAGCTGCTACTCTGACAGCTCTGTTAATTACTACTGATGTTAAAAGGTTTTGATAGCTGATGTGTGAGCAGTTCTGTAGACAAGGACAAGAGTGCTTGAAGGGTTTGAACACTTGGAAAAGTCATCTAAACATGTGCTTTCCCCAAAGTGCCATAAAAATGGTGCATGCTGGAATGACCTTTGAGAGATCATCTGGAAATGGATGGATGTGGTCAATATTGCCAAAATGGGGCAGGTACCATGAAGAGAACTTGTGGAACTAAGGGTGGTTAAAAGGGAGTGCTTGAGGAGCTGCTGTTCCTTAATGCTTTATAGGGAAAGTGTAATTGAACTGATCAGATTGAGTCCTTGGGGAATGAGTCAGCAGCTGGACAGTCTGGATTTCTGTTCATGGAAAGTAATGAGCATAAACTCTGAACTTCACTCCTTTTCAAGTTCAGAGTTCAGGAGCTTGCAAGAGAAAAATAGTGGCTAGATCCCCTGCAGGTTATACTTCAGCATCTAAAAATAGCAGAGCAGGTTGTTATGACAGCTATTCAATTCAGGGCACAGGCTCATCACCCTCACTGAGTCTGAGGTATTTTTCCATTTCTCTGGTAGCATTTTTAATAGCTTGTGGGCTTTCTATTTATTTTTGGACCTTCTGCTGACATATTTGAGTTGTTAGGTAACTTGAGGTTTGAGAGAAACTGTTGCTTACATGGATTTGATAACACACTGTGATTGAAACTTCTTGTAACTTGGGTTCAGCTCTCAAAGAGTGTCCCCAAAACACACTGGGCACAGGCTACAGCTCTGCAAATAAAACCTTCTACCCTGTATTTATTTTCCTTCCCTTCAGTCTCATCGATGCCACTCATAAGGATGTGGATGTGCTGCTTTTACTTTCAAACTCTGCCTATTATGTGGCCTAGTAAGTTACCACTTTCCCTTACTCTGTGTAGTTTCTTTTAGCAGCTCTGCTTTAGATTAGTAGGAAGCACTAAATTCTGTTTCTTTTTTCTAGTTACGATGATGAAATCGACAAAGTGAATCAGTACCAAAGGTTAAGTCTTGAAGCTCTGGAAAAAATAGAAATAGGTAAGAAAACAGTCACTCTGTCTTTTTTTGAAAGCTCTTAACAGTGGCTTGAGCACTTACCAAAGCATCCTACAAAAGTATTGAAGCAGCAGGCCTTGAAGTGGGGCACATGCCCTGGGCACCCCACCCAGAAAGGGCCCCTCTGGCTGGTAACAGATGCCAGGCTCCTCCTGCTGCTGGAAATGGAAGCTTTGATCACTGGAAGGTTCTAAAATTTTCCCTCTTTCAAACTCCTAAAAGAGCCACGGAGCCATCCAAACAGATTTCATTGTTTATCAAATGGCAGTAACGATTTTGCCAACTTCTGTAATGAGTCATGGGTTTGTGCATTCAGGGCTCTCTTCCTTTGATCCAAACACAGCTACTGGCTCAGAATTGTACTTCAGATCTGTTTCACAGCCTTGTAAATCTTCTTTCTCAAGGGCTGATAACAAACATGCTGTTACAAAAGCACCTTATGATGCTGATTTAATTTATTTGCTATAGAATGTAACATCTGCAGGTTAAATCCAGCATTTTCTGCTGGAAGCATTAAAGATGTGATGTCTTTAAATCATGAAAAAGGTGATCCAGGTGGGGAGAAGGGAGTGTGTGGCCTCCTGATGGAGTTTAATCCTCCATTACACAACACACAGTGATTTCATCATCTCCTGCCTAACTTTCACTGTGTCTGTGCAATTTCTGAGCATTCAGGGGAAAGGTCTCCCTCACTTGTGTACTGGGGAGATTTGTATCCTGAGGCACAGAGCAGAGTCCAACATCTACATCCACACCTCATTTAATGTAGATTATGCAGTGCACTGAAGTACTGGTCTAAGTCTTGAAATTTCAATTACATCCCCCTGATAAAAATAGTAGCTTTCCCTTTGATCCTTGCAGGAGCATTCCCTAAAACACCCACAGGATGTAAAAAGTGTAAAACTTTTTTTCCCTTCTATTTGAAAGGGTGATCTGCAATAAACAATCAGGCTGGATTGTAACAGACATACAGAGAGTCTAATTGCTTTTTTTAAATTATTGATTGTTTAGTTAATGTGAAAATCTTTCATTTAAAGTGTCAGTCCTGCTCTTATGAAAACATGAAGCATTTTAGGCAGAAAAAGACAGTCAGCACTTACATAGCCTTAGGTGCAGGCTCTGCAGTATCTCTTTCAGTGTTTGGTTAAAGATTTCTAAAGATTTCTCCTGGTTTCTCTCTCAGGGCCTGAGCCTACTCTCTTTGGCAAACCCAAGTTCTCTTGCATGAGGCTGCATTACAAATACAAAGAAATGAGTGGATATTTTCACACTCTCAGGGCTGTGGCTCGCAGCCCAGAAGAAGATGGAAAAGGTTTGTGTCCTGTGTAGAAGTTTTAGTCACAGAATTGTATCCAATGTGTTGGTGTTTCTCTAAAAAATGCTTGTTCTATTGCTCTCAAAATTTATCCTTCTTCAGAAATCACTCCAATTAAATCCTGTTGTGACATTGGAAAACAATTTAAAAAAATCACTCAGATGTTACTGTTTTAATAGAAAGAAAAATAAGTTTCTCTCTAGAACTTGAGTTATTTCCCTGTCCAGGTCTTTACTGCTTCAAAAACTTAGAAAATGAAGTTAAAATTAACTCCTAAAGAGGTAAAGAAATTGATTTCTTTAGTGAAATCAGTGTCTGGAAATGTTCTTGCTTGTTGTTTAACTAGATTAAACAAACACTAACAAGGGAAAAAATATCACTTCATACCTGGAGCACTGAGTTTTGTCAGCAAGGATTAGAATAAATAAAATTGCTTCTCTTCCTTCCCCAAACGAGGCAGTGTGGCAGTGATTTGCTTAATGCTGAGTATTTAGGGCTGAAGGAGAGTTTATTTTTGAGGTTTGTCTTATAAGCTTTAAATCAGAATTGCAACTTGAAGGGCACAACTGCTCTGCAGGGTGAAAGGAAAAAAAGCAATAAAACCAAACAAAATTATGTTAAAATTAGACCTGATTCTTTGTAGATTGTGGAATATGGGTTTTTAAAGGTGTTTGTAAGGGTCTGACAGGCTGCTGCTTGGATTTCAGACACTCTTCAGTGCATTGCAGAAATGCTGAGAATCACAAAGCAAGCAATGGGAATGGATGTGCCCATTATTGAGAAGAAGCTGGAGAGGTGAGTTCCTCAATGATGTGATCCTTCTGTATCCCACCTTTGCTCTCATCTCAGCTGCTTCTTCCAGCTGAGTAGAAAGTGTAGCAAAAAACCTTGTTCTTTTTACAGGTATTGCCCTGAATATTGACTGAATATTTGCTAAATCTGGCTACTGGGTATAGACAAAGTAAGGGTTAAAAAAATGGAGAATTCAAATCCTTTTTCATCAAAAACTAAAGTGCCTGCAGAAACTGCCTGTTCCCCTTGTTTGGCTACTGTTCTGTATCAACCCTCCTTTGTTGGTTTCAGCTTGATTAGCTTATATTATTCTGTAAAAAAAAGGATTAAATTTATTATTTATGTAAGAAAAGAGTAACTTAGGAACTGAAATGTCCATTTCTGTTACAGAAATAGACTGGAAGACAGTGTACACTTGGTGCTTTGACTGTACATTAAAGGTCTTCTTCCTCTTCTAGGAGGAGCAGCAAACCTCATGAGGATATCATTGGCATTCGGTCTCAGAACAGAGGGTCCCTGGCCCAAGGCAAGAATTATTTACTGAGCAAGTTCTCCTCCCTCAATCAAAAGGTGAAACAAACCAAATCCAATGTAAACATCAGCAACCTTCGGAAGCTGGGCAGCTTTGCCAAACCTGAAGTGAAAGTCAATTTCTTAAAGCCAAATTTGAAAGTGAATCTTTGGAAGTCGGACAGCAGCCTCGAAACCCTGGAGAACCCAGGGGTGGATCCGAAAGCCCCCAGCGAATCCGACACAGAAGCCTCAGACAACGACTCCTTCCACTCGGATGACTTCCTCAGCAACTCCAAGTCGGACGAGGAGGCGCAGCTGGGGGGGTCCCTGGAGAACATGGCCCCCACGGACTACGTGCTGCCCAGCTGCGGCATCATCGCCTCGGCTCCGCGCCTGGGCAGCCGCTCGCAGTCCCTGAGCAGCGCCGACGCCAGCCTCGGCCTTGCCGTGCCGGCCGAGGGCCAGGCCGCCGCCCTGCCTGCCGCTGACAGCGCGGAGCTGGGGCTGGCCAAGCCCGTGGATGTGTACTGCCAGAGGTTCGTGCAGGACGCCCAGAGCAAGGGCTGCCATGTGCTGGAGCTCTCTGAGGCCGGTCCTCAGGAGCCCCACCACGCGCCGACCCAAACCGGCGGGAGCGCTGCCAAGAAGGCAGAAGCCAAAGCTGAAGCTGTTGCAGACGCTCCTTCCAGGCCATCGAAGCTGGATGTTCGCTCTTCTGAGCCAAACCCTCAGCTCCTGGCTGTGGGTGGGCCTGACTGCAGCAAATGGCACAGGAGCCCGGGCTCTGTGTCCGGGGGCCACGAGGCAGGACTCCACGGCACTCCTTCCCCCGCCGACGGCAGCAGGGCCGTGTCTCCCTTCGCTAAAATCCGCAGCTCCATGGTCCAGGTTGCCAACATCACCCAGGCAGGATTGACTCAAGGGATTAATTTTGCTGTGGCAAAGGTCCAAAAGAGCCCTGCGGAACCAGAAGCTTTAAATGAAATCAAACAAAAAGAACTGAGAGAAATGTTTACGCAATGCCAGACGAGAATAATTCAGATCTAGTTGCTCATTTGGGAAGTGTTCTTCTAGCTGTGGCTTCTAATAAAATAACCCAATGACATCAGGACTATTGTGGCATGAACTGCTACTGGATACTGGGATTGATAATAGGTAATTTGTTTACAAGCAGTGAGAGATGCAAATGAATTTGGTTCTGACCAAGCTTCAGAATTCCCTCAGGCAGGTGAGACAGAGCCTGTATAAACCATATTTAAACAGGTAGCTTAGACACTGGGATTCAATAAGCATGCTGTCTATCTTAGATGTGTTGCACAGTTATTTTTTTGAAACTAATTTTGTAGCTCTTCTGAATTATGTAGAAAGTATTTATACTCAAAAGGATGATACTGCACTTCTCTGACCTTACTTACCTTGCACTACACCAGCAAAATAAAGTACCGGTAAATTACATTTTATTTATTTTTGGACTAGTATTTTTACTTGTTTTCAATGAAGTTCTAGATGCAGCTCTCTGAATTGTGCCTCTACAATGGGAACCGATGTGTTTTTGTTGAATTTAAGTATGTTAACCAGAAAGTAAGATTTCTTTGCTATCCTTTTCTTTCCAGACATCCTGGGACACTTTCATTATAGATGAATCTTAGAGACCCAATCTGAAATACCCACAATCCTGCAGTGCAAATTTCTTCTGTAATTGGTTTTTTTCCTCACTTGTTTTGACGTGGGGGAAATGAAGCAAATGTCTTTGAATTGTCTTGCCCATGTTAAAGCAGTTGATTTTTTTAAATTCCAAACTCTGCCCCTTTGCTCTAATTTTTTGTCTCTGTAAAGCAGGATGAGCCAGATACCTGCCCATCAGGCACTGTGTCCCTCTGTGCTAGGATTCTCTCTAAGTATGAAAAACGATGCAAAATCCCAATTAACATCTGAAGCAGAAGGCCAGTGCACTGCTTTGTAAGATCAGGGTTGCATTAGAGCATAGCTGTCAGCATCTGTTCAAGACCAAATTCCTGACCAGCTCCAGCTTTGCACCTCACAGGGTGGAGCATCTGCTCCTGCTGGGAACTGGATAAAAAAACCCCTTTGCTCTGTGTGTCCAAGGATTCCACCTATTAAATCCTCCTTCCCAGGAATGCCTTGCCATGCCATTCCAGTCTAGGACCTTGTCCAGAAGCTGCTGTGAAGCAGGACCTTCCTGTGCTGTGGTTTGTGACTGTAAGCACCCTGACAGACCCAGTGCCTCTGTCCCTGTCCCTGTACTGTAGATAGGCTGCACGTGGTGTCCCCACAACGTCGTGTCCTGGCCTAGGGTAGCTCTGTGTCTTAGGACTTGTACTGTGTCTGAAATCATTTATCACCTGAAACTTTGATAAACAAATTTGGTTTATTTATTTTATTAAAGTGATGTGGGTTTGGGTTTTTGTTCTTTTTTTGAGTGTCTATACTTGTGGCTATATTTAAAATTAAACTACTGCTGTATTTTAATGTGAGCAATATACATGAGATATTTTAATAAAAAAAGTGGAATCAAAAGCTGGGCTTGGTATGTGAGATGTTAAGGGATGTGGGACTGCAGGGCTTGGGGGTTTCTTTCAGAATTCCAGACACAATTGCCCTGGTAGTCAAGGGACACAGCCATGACTTCACTTCTTTATCCTCTTTGAATGGTGCTGCTTTTCTGGGCAACTTGTGCCAGGACCTCACCACCCTCACAGGGAAGAACTTCATATTTCATCTAAATCTACCCTCTGTTAGTTTGAAGTCATCACCCCTTGTCCTGTTTAATGTCCTTCCAGCTTGGGAACTGTCCCATCCCTGGCTATGAACTATTGGAGATGGCAATAGGCACAAAAACATCCCCTGAGGCAATCTTAGAACCCAAGCCTGCATTCCAGCCCAGCTGCCTTTTGAAAAGTGTTCATTTCCTTCCTCATTTGTTCAGTTGCTTCACTTCACAGTAATGCAGCACAAGTCAGGCAAAACCATGAATATTCATTTTTAGTGTTCAAAAAAAAAAAAAAAAAGAAAGAAATAAGCTCTAAGTAATTTGAAACAGCACCAAGCTTGGCTCAAGTTTAGGATACACAAAAAATGTTTCTCATAATAAGTACTCATTATTAGTGTGAAGAGACAAAATATCTAGATTGGCTGTACAGCAAAAGCCCTCATGTTTAGAACAGGAAAATGCCATAAAAAAGAGGGTTCCTGTCCCTGTGATTTCAATCAGCAGAAAGCACTAAGTAAACCATTTAAACACCCTGCAGTACTGCCAAGGTAGAAAGTGAAGATGTGTTTTGTGTGAGTAAAGGAATATCACCCACTGTCCAGTCATTGTGGGGATTTTTAAGAAGCTGTACCAGGACAAAGCTCACTGGAGAAATTAGAGAAGTCATGGTCTGCTCTAAGCACAAGGCAAATACATTTCATACCTGAGCTGGTCAAATCACTGCTTGGTTCCACACTGTGATACCATCACAATGATGCTGCTGCTGCTCTGAGTGTGACCTGCCCCAGCTCACAGAACAGCACAGAGAGTGAAGGCAGCACCTCCTCCAGCTGCAGCTGCTGGCCAGCTGAGAGCTCTGATGCTCACATTTCAGCCAAGCAGGAATTAGAGCACAAATGTCCTCCAGAACAGAGCATACCACTGCTATGTTTGAAGGGCTCTGGCTTAAATTCTCTTATTATTATTAAAGGGAGTAAGTTTACACAACCTCAGTATTAAAGTTTAATATCAAACAATTTGCTCAATGTTACCAATTTTCAATTACAAAACAGGGTCCAAAAAAATTCCATAAAATATGTTTAGGTGGCTGAACAGAGTTAAGCGCGTTCAGACCGCAAGGGTAAATATCCATAACTTTTTGGTATAAATTATCTACAAAAACTGGTATGAACAATATTCCAATCTTAGTATGGGTTCCACCTAGGATTAGAGACATTTGCAGGGTGACATCCAGCAGCTGTTAAAGTTCATTGCCATTGACACATTGCTGCTGCTGCAGCCTGGCCTTGCGCAGGGCCTCCAGCTGCTTCGCTCGCAGCCACCTCTCCCTGGACAGCGTCGTCTGCCCCGCGCTGAGCGACAGGAACCTGGGGGAGCACAAAGAGCCAGTCAGGAACAGCTGCTGCAGCTGCTGCTGTAACCCACACAGCTCAGACCCAGCCCAGCTCACTCTGACCCGGCCCAGCTCACTCTGACCCAGCCCAGCTCACTCTGACCCAGCTGGCCTTCAGGAGTAAGAAGGCATGGGATGAAAGCAGGGAGGGAATACTTGGCCTAACTAAGAATCTCCTCTGCCTCATTCCTCTGGCTGGCTAGTCTGACACAATTCAGCTGCAGACCAAGGGCTGGCTCAAGCTGCAGCTTGCTGGGAAGCCCTGAGTGGTGACAGGGGCACCACACCCACCTGGCCACCAGCAGCATTTTGTGCAGGTCATCGGCCGTGACGCTCTCGGGGTTGTTCTTGCGCATTTCCACAAAGTCTTCTTCCACTGCCTGGAACAACACAGCGTGGAATTATGGAGCAAAACAGATCTCCAGGAGGAGATAAGAACACTGTAACAAGCTTTAGATTTCAACCTTTCAACTCACTGCTGTCCAGAAGTGAGCCTGAGAAAAAGCAGGCTACTTCTCATCTTTGCAAAGAAGCCAGTTTCAAAATGAGCTTTAGAAAGCAGGTTACATGCACTGTTCCTTATCTAATAAATTCAGTATATACTTTACAAACCCTTGAAGGCACATCAGGATGTGAAAACACTTCTATTTAGGTTTTGTAAAACTTAAAGGAGAATCACTGACAGGGCAAGTACAGTAAGTGTCTACTAAGGTGCTTTCTATCCAAATACATTGCTGAAAACAAATGAGGGAAGTGTCCATACCTTGGTCACCTCATCAGATATACTGTAGTCCAGCAGCCTCAACAAACTCAGGTAAATTCGGAATTTGTTCAGCACAGAGGGCAGCACTGCAGTGAGGAGGCTGCTCATGTACTCTTCCATGTTTGGGGGAATTATCTGTGGCTGTAAGTGGACTTGGCAATCTGACTGAAAGAGAAAATCACATTTCTTTCATCTCTTTCCACATCCCACTATTTTCTATTCCAAGACTAATTTACTCTCAGAAGCAGCAGAAGTCACCATTTCCCAGAACCAAGGTAAGATAATTCTTGAAACATTCCCCAGCTCACGTTTTGAACAGCTCCTGATTCAAGCAGGAGAGCCAAGGCTCAGTGGACAAAGCTGGCATGTCAGAGAGCAGATGTCTGCAAGCTCAGGCTACTGCAGGGGCAGTGCCACATCTGTGCCCATCACCTCAGAACCCACCATGCCCGAGGGAGGCTTGGAGAGCAGCACAGCTCTGCAGCTTTACCCACTCCCGAGGCCTTCATGGCCTCACCACCCCTGTTCAGGAAGGAGGAGGGAAGCTCCATCTCTGTTTTCTGGCCACGAGGGAGGAGGCAGCAGCTACTGCCAGTGTCACACCCTCCCTGGTCACAAGACACGTTTCCTGTCCCCACTTGTCCCTGGCAGAAGCTGGCAGCCCCTCCCTCCCTCCCTCCCATACCGGCAGGAGCGAGCGGCCCTCGGAAGTGATCAGCACATTAATGTTGCATGGGAATTCCATCCGGTGGTAATTGAAGTCATAATCCACCTTCTGCCAGGTGATCAGGTTACCCAGGGCTGTCACATTATGGACACCTGCAAGAGCAACAACAAATTCCCTGAGCACTGGACCTAAACAAATGTCAGCCCTGATTTTTGTTTCCCCTCTGTCTTGGAGGAGCAGCAAGCAGAAGGATTCCTGCAATCATCTTGTTCCTTCTTGTGTCTGAGGTGTCTTCAGAGACAACCACTTCTGAATGGGAATCAAATTAAGAATTCTTGATTTCAGGCCCAAACCTTGTCTGGCTTAGTGCATTAGTACATGAGTTTATAACTCATATCTTCATTGGCCCTACAAAGCCAGGTATCTATTTAGAGAGAAAAACAAAAAAAAGCAATCTCTCCTCAAAAGCAGAAAAACATTAGCAATTTAATTTTGCCAATTTTTTTAACAGTAGTCACTTGCCTTACCTGGAATTAAGTTATTTAAAATATTGACAAATTAACTGGTTGACCCTTGGGATTCTCTCTTTGAAAAACCAACATGTACCTGACAAACTGAATTTCTCATCAGCAGTTACTGCATCAAATGACACAACTACTGTTACAGTTTTGCCTTTAAATACTTAGTACTAATTCAGTACATTGTAAATAAAGGCAAAGTTAGCAAATAAAGGCAAATTTAATACTAGGGTTGACTTCTGGGACATTTTTCCATTTGAAATTTCTAAGCTGTAGCTTCCAAGAGTTCCAAACCAACTACTACATCTGAAGACACTCTAGGATTAAATTTTGTTCCCAACGCTGCTGTAAGAAATGAAAAATTTTTACTTCTTTACACTAAATTCAGTAGAAAACAACATCACATCAGCAAAAAAGAAATAAAATTACCAAGCCTTTTTTATCTGCAACTTTTAATATCTAAAATATTATTTTTTCACTAAATGCTGAGTATTTTTAAACATTACAGACAAACATTTTAGAAAACCTATAAACCAGCACAGTGAGAGTTCTCTCTCAATAGGAATTTATCATATTTTAACTGTTTTTTGGAAACAGACAATGCAGAGCTTGTTACTTGTTTTACTATTTTCTTTAGCAAAATTTTGTAGCTTTTCTAAAGCTGAGTAGCAAAAACTACTGAAAATTCAAAAGCAATTGAATTGATTAGCAACTTTTAAGAGCAGTAATTTAAAAAAACCAAAGCAGTTTTCTCCAGACAGCATTTTTATTTTAAAATTAAATTACTTGCAGTGATTTCCTATTGTTTCATAGGATCTCCTGAGTTGGAAGGAACCCCTAAGGATCATTGGGCTCCAGCTGCTGGCCCTGCACAGGACAGCCCCAGGACTCACCAAAGACACCTGTACTGTACATTCTCCAGGTACTGAGCTTTTAATGCAACTCAGCTCTTTTAAGTGAGTTATAATTAAATTAATCTCTAAAGCTCTGCTGAAAGCATGCTACATCAGCTTGTAAGATAGAATCCCCACTATTTTTAAGACAGTAATAGCAATCTTTTTTCTCCAGTTCTCGGGGATGGTTTCCAGATATACAGTAAAAATATAGAGCATAAGGCATCAGCATATGCTTTGCCCACTTCACACACTATCACAGGAAACTGAAAGGCCACTCCAATGAATCAGAGTTATTTTGGTAATGAAAAATTCTCCCAATTTGTCTTAAGTTGGCTGAGAAGGCTGCAGGAAGCTGCTTCAAAGCAGTGCAATAGGATGTAGAAACCACAAAGAGTTTTGCACTAGACCCCTTATCAGCGGGACACGATTATCACCGTGTCTTACAACACAGCAGCTTCTAACCTCCCAAATGAGCCTGCAGACAGCAGAAGCTGTGTACCTGCAGTGTCCAGCTGTCCCTGCTCCAGCTGGGTCTCATCTATGACCAGGGAGGTGTTGCTGGCCAGCTGC